ATTATGAAAGTCTACATTATTAGAGTCACGTTATGGCTGCAATATTGCAGATGTGACTCTAAATCTTAACTCACTCACTCACCCCAGTGATAATGATAATGACCCAATGATTCGCACAACGAATCCCTGGCTATCATCGAATTGAACCCTACCACTTGAATTGTTATTCCGGTTCTTTTGTAAGGCAATATAGAAACAGTTGAAGAATTATACTAGACAGAAGATGTCGACGCATGTCTGCGCGTTATATTTTATACTTGAATATTAATATCATTGATGGCTATAGGACACGTATTATTTCTGATAGGACACCCCGAACACTGTTGCCTTTTCCCACGACATCCAGCATGTCTAGACAACAATAACATTATATTGATTATTTCATACCCTGAGGCAAAAACATTTTTTCCAGCGTCTAATTTCATTAAAAACGCTTCAGTTGTGCACTGACTGAAAAATGGCATCTGATTAATACAGAAAACGGTGTTTATTTATATGTCGACCTTTATCTTACTGTATATAAAACTCATTCAGGAAAAACTTAGCTTGCACTGCATTGATCTTTATCTGTCTTCGCAACTATCGGTACTGTTCTGGCCTGCATAGACAAGGCTCTAATTGCAGTCTCCGGACTATGTCGGAAGTCAGTGAGTATTGCCCGATGCATCTTAGCAATATCCCAGCAATAACACCGCAGGGGCACCGGAAATGTGCTTCACACATTGTACCCATGTGGGGAATCGAAACCGGGTCTTCGGCGTGACGAGCGCACACTGTAGCCACTCGGCTACCCCTCCGCCCCGTACCGGCTTGGAGGTATGAGTGGTGTGAAATTGAAACACAGTTCCTATGTAAAATGGTATTTACTAATCACTTATTGGTAGATAAATAGATGTCAAACTAGACACAGGTTAAGTCTGATTAAACCGACTGAAACTGGCGTGGACTGCTTTTCGACACGACGGTAGACTTTCTTCATTGGCCTGCCGTATCAACTTCACCCGTTAATCAAAGTGATAAAGTATATATGATGTTAATATGTACAATATCCTTCCACGCCGAGTCCATTTCCGTAGTTGCGTTGACCTCCGACTTGAATTGCGTCTCTCAGCGTCCGCATCAAATCGCCTTTATTTCCCGATCCAAAAATACCGAGGCCGGTTTTATCCGTGGAGAGTCTAACAGAGACAGAGAGCGAGGAGATTCATATTGATTCTGGGAAACAGCCAACTCAGCGTATTTCACTCGATATTTTGTCGTCAACAATCTCCATTGAACGAGGACAAATGAAAGGTTTACCTAAACAATCCACTTGTGCCATGTAGACGGGCAACAGAAAAGCTGGATTGGGTAAACACGAAAATTAGGAATGTGGGAACTCAGTTGGTGGAATGGTTTGGCACATTACGTAAACCCGGTGAGACATGCTTGTTGAACTAACAGTCTGGGGTATATGTTTCATTGTTTACTCAAGACAGGCAATTGAATTATTTAACTAGGAGACATAGTACGAATGATACAATTCAGTCTTATTTCGGCTCTTACGTAAGTGCAGATTCACAGTGACCCGTTCTGTGTTAGAATAGAATTGTAGATAAAACATTACATGCACACAGGATATCTTGTCGTCATCAATCTCCAATGAATGAGTAAAAATAAAAACAATGAATACAATAAAAGATTTAAAGAAATACGCATGGGTTTAAGTGTCACTGGTTTTCATGATTCAGTTTGTGATTTTTAAAGGATAACAACTCGTTCTAAAATTCAAAGAGGACGCATGTGAAGAGAGAACTCCAGGTAGGCTTCTGGCGTGACTCCGTCATCTCACGGAGCGACTGCACTGTTCAGCAATGTCATTAGTTTATTGGAATTGACTGGAATATTGTTCATTCATAAGGGATTTTATCCCGTTTTATCATAACCAAGGTTTAGAGAGGTGAAAAGTTTACTTGATATTATTAAATCAATAGTGGGGAAATGTATTTGCTGCTGGCGTTCTTTGGAGACTTGGTGTAAATGTATCTTTTTCATCTCATCGGACGCAGCGGAAGGACCGTCTTCTCGGAGGAAATAAAATACTTTAGCACCTAAGCGATGTGGGAAGTATGACTACTATGTCATTTGGTACCAAATATATTATGTCATTGTTTGAAAAAACAAAACTCATCAACAATCAAATGTCAAAGACGTTGAGCTGATCAGCTGCAGATCAGCTGCGATGTCAAACCACAGCAGAATAGCGGCGTCCAATTCCCTACTGATAAACAAACTTCAAAATATCAAAAGCAGAATCCATTGTACGATACCGACATATCACGATAGGAATTACAACTGAATAGTGATGGTACATGTTGTGTGTGAACAGGTGTGCGTGTCCTGTCACGTTGAACAGGTGGGCGTGTCCTGTCACGTTGATGGCATCTTTTCAAGCACATGCAATGGCAAGACAGCATTGAACAACGTTAATATACCGGAAGTACACTATGGACCGTGGTGATTGACGCTATCTATTGGCGAAGTGGTCACTATAAACGTATTGCCACAGACATCCTAGGGGCGGTGGGCAGAGGTGACAGTGTCCTGATGTGGGTGGAAATCTCCTACTCTTGTAGAACCATACTGTTTCAGGTTCGAGGTGACTGAACGGCTCGACACAACTGGGATGGAATCCTACAGTCACACGTTGTTCTCGTCATGTAAGGCGGGACTGTACGCAGCTCGTGTCAGCAGTGTTGTACAAAGCTGCACAGTACAGGTCCTCCCGTAACCCCCTAAACCGCCGAATTTGGAGACAACAGAATACCTGCGGGACGAGGTGGTTCGCCGTGTTCGACGGTGTCATTATCAAGCAGACGATGCAATACCTTGCTGACAGTAAGGGTCCAGGCTGGTTCTCAGGTTACGCTCCGCTTGTGCATCGGTGAAGTGCAAGCGCAGCGCCATAGCTAAGGAACCAGGCTGGTAAGGGTCGAGATGGGCATTATTCCCTAACGTACGATCCGTACTCCCATATTGTCCATGGTGCCAGTTACCACTTATTGTGGACATACGAGATATTGACCTCTCATGACTTTGACCTTTTGACATTTTCCGCGTACTGTCTACATACTGGTCACGTGTCCAGCGTCAGGATGTTTGTGACATCATCACCTAATTCCAGATATGCAGTAAATGTGTGTTAATCACGCATCATAAATCTGATTATGCGTTTCTTTTTTTGGTGAGTATGCACAGCGCGTTCAGGTTCATACTGAAGCAAAGCCCCAAATGACATAGATATTCACCACTTTAAGCGAGGTGAAACAAACTCGACATTTAAAGCTTTGACGGTTGATGATTATCCTGACCATTCTTGGATTCGAACCTGGATCCCGTCAGGCTGACAGATCTGCAGAAAACATTTAATGCACTTGTCACGTACAGAAAAATACAGGATATTAAATCATAAATATATACCATGCATTCATTATTCTCCAACTAAACAAACCTTAGAAATATTTTCACGTGGGTCGTTAACAAGACAAGAACTACACTCCATTAGAACTACACTCCACGAAAACAATACAGATTTGTCACGCCGCAGTATGGTTGGGCTATCTAGCATGTATCCTACGGTGTCAATAACGCCAGATACAGTTAACAGAAGAACGTGTGAATGTGATAGGCTGAAAGTAACGACGCAGTACTGCATCAACCTGCGACATCAACATGTCAGGGCGCCCAATCAACGATTTACTGCTGTCTAGACAAGCCACTGACGCGGCACCATCTGTGACGAGGGAGGGCTGTTGTGGGTACATCCCTCAGACGCTGCGTCATAATGACATAACGGTATCTGGATCCAGTTCAGTTTCACAAAATAAAAAAAAATAAATCATGAGTCAATTTCTAATATTTTTGTGCGCAGAAAGAATGGTAAGAGTGGGTTTCCTCTTCATGTGTTCTCTTGGTTTCAGTTTGTTAACCTGTGTTGGAGCTGTCACAGGACCCCGTCAGTGACAGTACATGCATATACTTTGATGGCAGTTTTTAGCGTTACAAGCGCCTGGGAGCTGGTACATTACAAGGTCGGCAGTAATCCGAACCAGGTGTGTTAGTTACAGACACATAAACAATGCAGTGGTTGACTCAGTGTAGTTTAAGAGATATTTGTCCAGTTTAATTCTTTGGCTTTCGTGGCGAGGCACTGCTATACGGTCGTTTCAAACATAAGTTTGAATTACACAATGCTTATGTATGTTTATTTTTACTTTGTGTTAAAAGGCTTGAATCACCCTATTTCCTTGTACCAAGAACGATACCCCAACAAACAACCTAATAAAATTCTGTTCATCTAATTCTCCTTCATTTCAAGTGTGGCGATAGTTCACTTCACGTTTACTACAATAAAAGCAGCCAAGGAAAAGGATAAAATGTAGAAATATGGTCAACCTTTCTGTTTAAGTATTTAATCTGGAAAGAGCAAAAATTGCCAGTACTTTCCACCTTTTCACACAATATATATGTATGTAAAGTATGTACACAACCATGAAAGAAGCCTCCCCAAACTGATCCCTAATGGTGACACAAACCTCCAAACATTAACGTCAACTTCTGACACAAGCCTCCCAACACTACCCCCAGGTTGTGACACAAGCCTCCCAAACACTACACCCAGGTTATGACACAAGCCCACACTACCCCAGGTTGTGACACAAGCCTCCCAACACTACCCCCAGGTTGTGACACAAGCCTCCCAACACTACCCACTACCCCCACAAGCCTCCCAGGTTTGTGACACAAGCCTCCCAACACTACCAGGTTGTGACACTACACTACCCCCCAGGTTGGTGACACAAGCCTCCCAACACTACCCCCAGGTTGTGACACTAGCCTACTACCCCCAGGTTGTGACACAAGCCTCCCAACACTACCCCAGGTTATGACACAAGCCTCCCAACACTACCCCCAGGTTGTGACAACAAGCCTTATGACACAAGCAACACTACCCCCAGGTTATGACACAAGCCTCCCAACACTACCCCCAGGTTGTGACACAAGCCTCCCAACACTACCCCCAGGTTATGACACAAGCCTCCCAACACTACCCCCAGGTTATGACACAAGCCTCCCAACACTACCCCCAGGTTATGTCACAAGCCTCCCAACACTACCCCCAGGTTGTGACACAAGCCTCCCTACCCCCAGGTTATGACACTGCCTCCCAACACTACCCCCAGGTTATGACACAAGCCTCCCAACACTACCCCCAGGTTATGACACAAGCCTCCCAACACTACCCCCAGGTTGTATGCCTCCCAACACTACCCCCAGCCTCCCACTACCCCCAGGTTATGACACTACCCCCCCCAGGTTGTGACACAAGCCTCCCAACACTACCCCCAGGTTATGACACAAGCCTCCCAACACTACCCCAGGTTATGACACAAGCCTCCCAACACTACCCCCACAAGCCTCCAAACACTACCCCAGGTTATGACACAAGCCTCCCAACACTACCCCCAGGTTATGTCACAAAGCCTCCCAACACTACCCCAGGTTGTGTCACAAGCCTCCCAACACTACCCCCAGGTTGTGTCACAAGCCTCCCAACACTACCCCCAGGTTATGTCACAAGCCTCCCAACACTACCCCCAGGTTATGTGACACAAGCCTCCCAACACTACACCCAGGTTATGTCACAAGCCTCCCAACACTACCCCCAGGTTATGACACAAGCCTTCCAACACTACCCCCAGGTTGTGACACAAGCCTCCCAAAACTACCCCCAGGTTGTGATGCTACGCACAGAATCATTGGGAGTTGGTATCAGATTTAGTTTTGATCTGTGAGTTCCGTTGAAAGTGGTATGAGATAGATTGTGCTTTTGATGAAAAAGGAAAACCCCTAAATGAGGCAAGTTTAGATTTTCATCACGTTCCGAATCTCCCAACACACTAGGGCTCCTAAGATACAACCAATGTGAAGATACAACCAATGTGAAGATACAACCAATGTGAAGATACAACCAGTGTACAGATTCACCCAATGTACAGATTCAGCCAATGTACAGATTCAACCAATGTACAGATTCAACCAGTGTACAGATTCAGCCAATGTACAGATTCAACCAATGTACAGATACAACCAATGTACAGATACAACCAATGTGAAGATACAACCAATGTACAGATTCAACCAATGTACAGATTCAGCCAATGTACAGATTCAGCCAATGTACAGATTCAACCAGTGTACAGATTCAGCCAATGTACAGATTCAGCCAATGTACAGATACAGCCAGTGTACAGATACAACCAGTGTACAGATTCAACCAATGTACAGATTCAACCAATGTACAGATTCAACCAATGTACAGATACAACCAATGTACAGATTCAACCAATGTACAGATTCAGCCAATGTACAGATTCAACCAATGTACAGATTCAACCAATGTACAGATTCAGCCAATGTACAGATTCAACCAGTGTACAGATTCAGCCAATGTACAGATACAACCAATGTACAGATACAACCAATGTACAGATTCAGCCAATGTACAGATTCAGCCAATGTACAGATTCAACCAATGTACAGATTCAACCAATGTACAGATACAACCAATGTCTTGCTGAGTGCCGCGTTAAACAAGTCACAACCAAACCACATTCATTAGGAAGTACGGGAACGGGTCGTGATAAATGTAAACATGGGTGATGTATGTTCAACAGAATTATACGATTTAAAATCGCAAAATTACAAAAGCTTCTGATCTCCAAATGACAAAACGCATCTGACCAAGATTTCGCGCATGGAATCTATTGTACGTGATGTTGTTTAAACGTTTCGGGCGGAAAATGTGAAGTGTGTGGTTATTTCAAAAAACCGTATTAATAAATAACTCAGCAAATAGATCCAGATGCCAAGGTTAGTCAACAAAAACAACTCAAAGACCTTCGAATGTGTGCCAGGGCAAATATGATTCTTTTGCTTTATGTTGAGACATGTTTTCTTAACTGCTGAATTCATTAAGTCGTCATATTAAGAATATATCAGACAAATTGCGAGTTTAACTTTTTGTAAATCAAAGGGACTGATTACATTAATATCCGTTTATCCACCATTTAGAAATGGCAGTTTGAGAACCCGACAATTATATATATATATATAGTCCAGTTATTTCTTCTTGCCAAATGTCCTTTATATCTGCACAAGATCTTTCGCCGTTCAACGGCTCTTCAGGTGTATACATATATTTATTGCTTATACACCTGCAGAAATCACGTGTTTATATATATAGGAAATCTTCCAGTCTGGCATTCACTCATTGTAAGGAGATAACAGCTATGATTCACATCAAAACAATTTCCACGCCCTGCGTGCTTTAAAATGAATGACCACTGACAAAAACCATGGAAACGACTACAACAAATCAATCGACCACTCATAGATCTGACTGACCAGCATCTATTTATAGCACCCTAACGAAGGGAAGTTCTCCAAAACAGCAACAACAACACATAGCACGTGTGGTCATCAAGGTCACATGACCACTTGAGAACAATCACTTTTCACGTGATGGTATCTGACGTCAGACACATGACTAACGAGCTTGCACTTTGCAAAGTTAAATAATTATATCCACCGTAATCGCAAATTCTAATGCGGTTGCTCGTCATTCCTTGTATATGTTTGATGAAGGAAAATAGCATTGGTGAAGTTTAGAAACGACGTTTTCCACGCCGTACATTTGATTCTTTGGTTGAACAGGAACACTAGTTAAATATGTACATTGAATTTGAATCTGTGAATCTGTACATTGGTTGAATCTGTACACTGGTTGAATCTGGCCACATTGGTTGAATCTGAACATTGATTGAATCTGTACATACGGCTGAATCTGTACATTGGCTGAATCTAATACATTGGTTGAATCTGTTGAACTGGCTGAATCTGTACATTGGTTGAATCTGTACATCTGAGCTGTTGAATCTGTACATTGGTTGAATCCTGAACATTGGTTGAAATCTGTACATTAGCTGAAATTGTACATTGGCTGAATCTGTACGATATTGGTTGAATCACTGTACTGTACGGCTGAATCTGTACATTGGTTGAATCTGTACACTGGTTGAATCTGTACGTTGGTTGAATCTGTACACTGGTGGAACTGGTTGAATCTGTACATTGAATCTGCTGAATCTGTACACACTGGTTGAATCTGTACATTGGTTGAATACATTGGTTGAATCTGTACACTGGTTTGAATCTGTACATTGGTTGAATCTGTACATTGGCTTTGAATGGTTGAACTCTGTACACTGGTTGAATCTGTACATGCTCAATCCATCCACTGATTTGCCCAGACACGATACTCCGGTTGGTTATCTGTACATCAGTCTGTACATGGATTGATCTCACTGCCAATGTACAGATTCAACCAGTGTACAGATTCAGCCAATGTACAGATTCAACCAATGTAAGATGACCAATGTTATTAGATTCAACCAGTGTACAGATGTCAACCAATGTACAGATTCAGCCAATGTACAGATTCAACAGTGTACAGATTCAGCCAATGTACAGATTCAACCAATGTACAGATTCAACCAATGTACAGATTCAGCCAATGTACAGATTCAACCAGTGTACAGATTCAGCCAATGTACAGATTCAACCAGTGTACAGATTCAGAAAATGTACAGATTCAACCAGTGTACAGATTCAACCAGTGTACAGATTCAGCCAATGTACAGATTCAGCCAATGTACAGATTCAACCAGTGTACAGATTCAGCCAATGTACAGATTCAACCAATGTACAGATTCAACCAATGTACAGATTCAACCAATGTACAGATTCAACCAGTGTACAGATTCAACCAGTGTACCCAATGTACAGATACAACCAATGTGAAGATTCAACCAATGTAAAGATACAACCAATGTACAGATTCAACCAGTGTACAGATTCAGCCAATGTACAGATTCAACCAATGTACAGATACAACCAATGTACAGATACAGCCAATGTACAGATTCAACCAGTGTACAGATTCAGCCAATGTACAGATTCAGCCAATGTACAGATTCAACCAATGTACAGATTCAACCAGTGTACAGATACAACCAATGTACAGATTCAACCAGTGTACAGATTCAGCCAATGTACAGATTCAACCAATGTACAGATTCAGAAAATGTACAGATTCAACCAGTGTACAGATTCAACCAGTGTACAGATTCAACCAATGTACAGATTCAACCAGTGTACAGATTCAACCAGTGTACAGATTCAACCAATGTACAGATTCAGCCAATGTACAGATTCAACCAGTGTACAGATTCAGCCAATGTACAGATTCAGCCAATGTACAGATTCAACTAGTGTACAGATTCAGCCAATGTACAGATTCAACCAATGTACAGATACAACCAATGTACAGATACAGCCAATGTACAGATTCAACCAGTGTACAGATTCAACCAATGTACAGATTCAACCAGTGTACAGATTCAATGTACAGATGTACAGATTCAGCCAATGTACAGATTCAACCAATGTACAGATACAGCCAAAGTACAGATTCAACCAGTGTACAGATTCAGCCAATGTACAGATTCAGCCAATGTACAGATTCAGCCAATGTACAGATTCAACCAGTGTACAGATTCAGCCAATGTACAGATTCAACCAGTGTACAGATACAACCAATGTACAGATACAACCAATGTGAAGATACAACCAATGTTAAGATACAACCAGTGTACAGATTCAGCCAATGTAGAGATTCAGCCAATGTACATATTCAACTAGTGTACAGATTCAGCCAATGTACAGATTCAACCAATGTACAGATACAGCCAATGTACAGATTCAACCAGTGTACAAATTCAGCCAATGTACAGATTCAGCCAATGTACAAATTCAGCCAATGTACAGATTCAACCAATGTACAGATTCAACCAGTGTACAAATACAACCAATGTACAGATTCAACCAGTGTACAGATTCAACCAATGTACAAATTCAGCCAATGTACAGATTTTAACCAATGTACAGATTCAACCAATGTTCAGATTCAACCAATGTGCAGATTCAGCCAATGTACAGATTCAGCCAATGTAAAGATTCAACCAATGTACAGATTCAGCCAATGTACAGATTCAGCCAATGTACAGATTCAGCCAATGTACAGATTCAACCAATGTACAGATTCAGCCAATGTACAGATTCAGCCAATGTACAGATTCAGCCAATGTACAGATTCAGCCAATGTACAGATACAACCAGTGTACAGATTCAGCCAATGTACATATTTAAACAATGTACAGATTCAGCCAGTGTACAGATTCAGCCAATGTACAGATTCAGCCAATGTACAGATTCAGCCAATGTACAGATTCAGCCAATATACTGATTCAACCAGTGTACAGATACAACCAATGTACAGATTCAACCAGTGTACAGATTCAGCCAATGTGCATATTTAAACAATGTTCAGATTCAGCCAATGTACAGATTCAGCCAATATACAGATTCATCCAATGTACAGATTCAGCCAATGTACAGATTCAACCAATGTACAGATTCAACCAGTGTACGGATTCAACCAGTGTACAGATTCAGCCAATATACAGATTCAGCCAATGTACAGATTCAGCCAATGTACAGATACAACCAATGTACAGATTTAACCAGTGTACAGATTCAACCAGTGTACAGATACTACCAATGTACAAATTCAACCAATGTACTGATTCAGCCAATGTACAGATTCAGCCAATGTACAGATTCAACCAGTGTACAGATACAACCAATGTACAGATTCAGCAAATGTACAGATTCA